TTCTGGAACCTTCTAATTAGGACTCTGTGCGTACCGGTGACCCCTCCATCCCAGATACTAGATAGCCATCTGCCCACTCATGCAACTTTAGGAAAATGGTCCTTATCACCATCCTACATGCGTTTTATTCGTTTCCCTCCATAGGAAGGTGGGTCGCCATGGGGATGAGAAATAAACCTGACAGGGAACTACACTGCAGGGCGGCACTCCGTCCTTAGCAGCTGGGCGGTGATAATGATTACTTTAAGCAGAGGGGCTATTTTCTCCCTAACGAGTGCGCCTCACCGCCAACTTGGAACCCCCAGCTGAAACCAACTCTGCCGGGGACCGACCACCTACTTGTCGTTAGAAATGCTGCAGTCGATCACAGTCTTCTTGCTGGTGTTCACAATGATGAATGGGAGGTGGATGACGGAGTTGGAGGGAGGCGGCCGGTTGGCCTCCTGCTCCGCCTGACGGTTTCGCTGCACCAGGTTCTTGAAGGCAATTTGCTAAAAGGAGACAGGCCCGTTGGAATACTCCTCGTTATCAGTGGCTGGCTGGGCATTTGAAGGTAGCACTGGAGTTCTTTATACTCCTCCTCCGACCCCACTAGGAGGGCTCAGAGGGAGGCTGCTGAACTCTCCTTTCAAGCTCACCAGGAACCTGGCCGAGGCTGCGGGCACCTGGCTAATTCCTGTGACCTCTTCGGTTATCTGGAGGCCTTAGCAGCCGGACTAAACGGCATCGTGCACACTCCAATACTCAAAGGAGAACGGAGAGCGTAGGATGGGTGCAAGCACTACACAGTTCACATGAAAACATATTCCCAGCAGCGGGGAGCTAAAACAAAACAACAGCTGCCAACAACTCTACCCCGCCTTTGCCCTAAGTCTTGGAGCTCCCACCAATCTCCGTCAGACCATCAGTCTGGGCTCTGTGAGGACTTCGGAGTCCTGTCCCACAGTTTCCTCCCCCTCTGTCCAGGACCTGCTAACAGGATCCTTTTCAGAGCAAGTGAGACCAGTTCTTCTAGTTCCAGGATGGTAGAGACTGGCACGAGCATGGTCTGATGAACTGATCATTTCCCTACGTCTGTCCATTTCCATCCCTGTCCTGTGTCCTGCGCATAGGCAGAAATCAACAGGCGCACCTTCGGATGGCCGCTCGGGAGGACTGAAGACTCCAGTCACCACTCACAAAGGTGGATACGGACCACTGGTTTGGTGAATGATGCTGTGTCCACTGACCTTGGGGTCCCCCAGAGACTCGGGTCCTGGGACCCTCAGCCCCAGTGCCCCAGGTCCTCAAGGTGTTTGGTTATGCCAGAGAAGTTTCCGCAAGTTTGCCCCTTTTACGCTTCAACACATTTCGTGGCTATATTTGCGGCAAATACATGTGTAAATCTCCTGTGCCAAAGCCAGAGCTATGTTCCTGGGAGTGCTCCAGCTCTCCCTCCTACACTTGTTCAGCCCAAGTGCACCCCCCACCCCCCTCAAACACCTATTCACAGACCACCACTGTTGCGGGACTGGGTTTAGAATGGTTTTACAAGATTTACAGACAACAAAGGCAAATGCTGTTATACAAAGAAGAGAATTTTGAAATGATTTTGTTATATTACCCCTCTACCCCCCCCTCCAAAATATTAATTAATTATGGTTCTTTCTCTGTCCCCTGCTGTCCAAAGGAGGGATTCCATGGGCTTGCCCACACTTCCTGGACCCACAAGTACCTGGGTTTGCTAGGTGGCACATACCATGGGAGTGTATGTTAGACCTTTGAGAAGGGGTGGGGGGCCGATGCTCTGGGTCTAAATCTACAACGTGAAGACCTGGGGCCCTAAAATGGACAGTCATAGGACACTGAAGATAGACAGCGTCATGGCGGTTCAAGTTGGAAGATTTGCATCCACGGGCTTCTTGGCCCACTCCTCCCACACACACTACACTACTACGTGGGCACCAGGCCCCCAGGAAGGGGCTGGAGAGGCAGTCCGGGTCCCACCACACAGGAGCTTACAGCTCACAGGAGAGGGGAGAGGATCAACGACCGAGGTTCTGCATGTCCGTCTCAATGACAAGGAAGAAAGAGAACAAGGCCCTTGCATGGGGAGCCGCTGGGGGTTCAGAAGTGGGGGTAACCACTGCGCCTATCCCTACTCTCAGCCCTTCAGGTATGGGGATGGGAAGGGAGATGGGGGGCACAGGAATCTGCCCCCTAGCTATCAACTCCACACAACGTCTGTTCCAGACCACCAGAGCTTCCCCAGGGAAAATCAGGAAGCTGTGTGTGACCAAGCCCACCCTCTCTCCGAGGGTGCCTGGATCCCAGGGGACTCCTCTAAACCATGCCTTCCTTTGTGCAAGCAGAGGAGCCGACATCCCACAGTGGCCTACGGTTGAGACCCCCGGTTAAGTCGGACATCCCCACTGGAGACGTGAGTGAGGTGCGCATGCGCTGGCCCGGCACGGGCCCCACCCGACCACCCGTTCTCTCTCTGGCCTTTCTCTTGGCTGCAGTTCGTCTTGGAAATCTCTCGCCCCTCAGCTTTTCCTTCTCCAGAGCACCAGCCGACTGTTCTCAGCCCCCTCCCCCCTCCTGATGGCTCTCACGCCCACAGTGGCCAACAGCCCTTTAGTCTAGGTGACTCCCATTTAAGGAGCTCCCTCAGCCCGCCACCCAAACCCACCCAGCAACACCTGTTCTACCTGCTCCATCACCAAGGCTTACCCGCACGCTCCTACTGACCTTGCGCTTGGCCCCTGCACTCACCGTCTCCCCAAGAACCCAGGGCTGAACCTCAGCTCTCGGTGCCTCTTCCCTCCCACCTCTAGTGGCTACATTCTGTCTCTGCACGCGGCTCCCCCGCCACACGGCAGAGCTGCTACACAGGCGGGCAGACTGCACATTAGCTCCTCCAACAAGCTCGCTGCTTGTCTCTCAGCAGACAGAGGGCTTCCTGCCTGCTTCACTCACCAGAATGTGTGTCTGTTATGACTCTGTACCTCAAGTACTTGAGTCTACTGCCAGGTACTCGGTACACAGGTCATACACAGCAGAGGGCTGTTTTCTAAATGCCATCTTTTCCACGAAGTCATCCCTCCAACCAGTTAGAGGTACCAGACACACCTGGTTCTCTCTCCCACACCTGTGCTCATGCCCTCTCTCTCCTCTCTCTCTCTCTCTGGGAACAAGGCCCATGTCTTGTGAGCCCATGTCCCTGACAACACCTGCACAGGAGCCTGTGTCCCTGACAACACCTGCCGACCAGGTAGCTCAATGAATACTTATGACATTCTCATTCGGCCCCAAAGCAGAGACTGTACTTACCACGGCACAGGAGCATGTGCTCCAAGGGCAAGCTCCTAAGAGCTAAATTAGTCAGAGAAAGACAGCAAGTCCTTGCCTCCAAAGAGAAAACGTGTTACCTGTAGAATCAGTTCTTGAAGTTGAGACTGCTTCTGTTTTATTCTTTCAAGTCTTCTCTGTCTCTCTACCTTCAAACGTAAACCACAGAAATCATCACGATCCGTGTAACAGAGTCTGCATCCTACAAAACCCCTATCAACACGCAACCTAAGCGAGCTTCTCAGCCCACCCCACGGCACCAGGAACAAGACAAAACCATGTGTCCCGGATCTCACTGTGGGGAGAGAGCCAGCTCCAGAGCTCCAGGAAACAAGCAGATGGTTTTGTTTTTAAATCGTGACAAATGCACAGCAGGAGATTTCCAAAAGCTCAAGGAAAAACAGAGAAACATGATGACGCTTCCCCAAGAACTTTTTTGAAGTCCCCACATACATATGCTGGGTTTCAGATCTGCACATTCTACTCCTCTTCTCTTGATCCTTCAATCTGGCTAGATAGGTACACAACACACAACAAAACACACCCCACACACCAGGATTCAGAATTTATCTACGCTAGCGTGGAACAACTATCTGGGGCACCGAACACCACTCGCCCCCCAACAGGAGCTAAGTGCCCGCTCTGCAGTGGGTCAGTCAGGCTCGGCAAGCTGTCCCAGCATGCAGTGGGGAAGAACCCAAACTCTCAGAGACACAGGGCAACATGAGGAACGAATGCCCCTCTGTTCACCTGGGCCGGGGCAGGTACGGGGAAGCACGAGATGGTGCAGCAAAACAAACGTAGGTAAGAGTTGCCTGTGGTGTTGACATATACCCTTCTTTAAGCAGAATTCCTTTTCAACACATGTACGCGCGGGGGCGGGGCACAGTGGGAATGTAACGGCAGCAAGCATCACCTCTAGATTTTGACATTCCTGAGCCGAGTTAGTAGGCAGGCCGATCCACTTAATCTCCTTCTTCTCCTTGGAGATAATGTTCATGGCCATCAAGACGTTCAAGGCATCGTAGACTCGCCGCCGTATGTTCTTCTGGTCATAAGCCTGAGGGGGACAGAGTATTTCTCTCCCAACAAGAGCCAGTGCAGCTTGCAGGCAAACCCCTGCAGTGTCCGACCAAGTGAACGGCCTCAACTCCTTCATTCACCCACCCATCCCAATGCAGCTTGCAGGCAAACCCCTGCAGTGTCCGACCAAGTGAACGGCCTCGACTCCTTCATTCACCCATCCATCCCAATGCAGCTTGCAGGCAAGCCCCTGCAGTGTCCGACCAAGTGAACGGCCTCGACTCCTTCATTCACCCACCCATCCCACCAGGGGTGTATCAATCTACCACTCTAAGGCCTAGCAGGGTTGTCGTGCGGAACAATTCAGGCCTAAATCCACGAGGCGGAGCTGAGTAAGGAAGGTGTTGGAGTCCAGGTGGAGGTGTCGGGGAGCCACAGAGGCCCCAGAGCAAGGTGTCAAGAGCCCAGGGGACCCCAACCAGGATATCGCACAGAAGATACGGCAGGGGCAGTGGGGTGGTTCCATTCTGAGTAGTCATCAAAAACCTACCTATATTTCACGAGGGTCAAGTTTCTCAGGGTCAGACAGGAATCATAAACATGGACAGGGAGGAAGCTAGGAAAAATCCTGAGGTATTGGTTTCAGATTTCAGCCACAAGTGTGAAGTCCTGTACATCTGTGTGTGTGTACGTGTGTACAGATAAACCAGATTGAAAGGGCTTCCAATGTCCAAATTGACTGATCTTAAGGACCAAGATAATAATAAAGAGCAATGTTAGATGTTACTAATATGCGATCGTTACTCAGTGCCATCAAGTTGACTTCAACGCACAGTGACCCCGTTGGGTATCCTTGTCTCATCTTTACAAAAGCAGTCTCCGACTCTTAGCGACCCTACAGGACAGGGCAGAACTGCCCCTGTGGGTTTCCAAAGCTGTAACATTTGTTAGCAGGAGTAGAAAGCCTTTCTCCTGCAAAGCAGCTGTTGAATTTGAACTTCTAACCGTGCTGTGACGTTAGTAGCCCAACGTGTACCCCATTCCAACACCAGGGCTCCTTGCACAATAAAACTGGAAAGCGTAGATCATGGGCCAATGAATGAATGTATGGATGGGTGGATCGATGGATGGAGTGTCTGTATTTCAGAACAGAGTTTGCACACCATGTGTGACCTCTCTTCCAAGTAAAGCGCTTCTGGGTGGATTTGAACTGCCAACCTTTGGGTTAGTCAGCCAACCTCTTCACCGGTGTGCCATCCAGGTACACAGTCTATCGACAGAGACGGGTAGAACCTACCAGCGACATACTCTCAAATGGTTCAGGAAAACACGTGTGCCGTCCTGCCTTCCGCACCTATACATCTGCACTGGTTTCCAATGGAAAGGCAAGAGTGGGCTAAGAAAGGCAGGCACGTTGCCCTCCGAGGAGGCCGGGCCCGCGTCCACTTACCGATTCATTTGGCAGAATGTGGCTGTCGGCAGCACTGAACTCCGCAACCAGCTCGTCGGCCACCTCGTTGTAGGAAGTGGTTCCTTTCCGCTGCACCTTCTCACAGACCTTCATGGAGAAATGTCTCAGACCCTTGCCATTCTTCTCCCCTTTCCGGTTGCGTTTCCTTCAAGAAATACAGAGGGACACAAAGGGAGCTATTGGCATTCTTCAGAGCAATGCTTGAATTAAGACACACTTTCACCGGACAATATAAAAAATAAACCTACACCAAAAAGAACCCCAAGTGCACCTGGTGCAATAGCGGGGCTCCCTCATTGTTCCGACCACAGGGAAGTTAGCTCACTGAAGGAGGCTTTACATTGTTAGTGTGGGTGTACATGTTTAGGGTGCCCCCACCCCCCCGTCCTTTAAAGGTCCAAAAATGGACATTTAAAATAGAAGCTAGATCTCATGCCTGCTTCTCCAAATGCCGGGGGGAAATGGTTTAGCCATCGAGAGAGATGGGGGTCAATTATATTACAATTGATAAATAAATATGTATATATATATATACACACACACACACATATGTATCCATTATCCAAGCATAGAGCACTACATTTTTAAGACATTAACGGGCACCAGGAATTCTGGGAAATTTTGGCATAGACTTAGCAATTTTTAGGAGAAATTTCATTTTTATGACCCATACGAGAGTGGGTGCCAAACCTGATTAAAAACAAAAACATCATGTGTGTTTCAGATGGAGAGGGAAAATCCACATTTCTGAACTATTTGAAAAGTCAGCACATTTGGACAAAAAAACAAAAGCCAGAAAAGGGGGAAATCACTCTTGGTTTCTAATTGGCTAAATTTTCTAAAATAGACTTGACGATTTGTTTTGTCTCATGACCAATAGAGACACGGTCTTTTTGTTTTGTTTCCGTTTGGTTGTTTCTAAGGAAGGATATATCCAGCTGACCACAGAGTGCTCACCCCAGATTCAGCTTTAGCGAACGAAATGGCCCAGCAATCCCGGGGGAGGGGCTGGGAGAGGTGCTCTTCATGGGACATAACCCTGGGCACCTTGAACGCTCCTTACAGCGAGGGATGGAGATGGTGCAAGAGCTATCGGGTTTGCTGTGTCCTTCCTAAGCTGTCCTTTTCGGGTGCGAACAAGAGAAGCTGATAGAGCTAGCTGCTGCTGGTGCTGCTGCTTCTGTCAAAAACGGATTAAAAACAAACCAAAAAACCTTTCGAGTGCAACAAAACACTCTAGCACTTCTTACACCAAAACGCTCCCGAGGGAGGAGCTACTTTCCCTGCAGTCTGGCTTCTCCTTCACTGAGGTGAAAGTCAGTCTAGGATGGGTCCCTTCTGGACATGAACCGAGTGCACACTCTTCCCATCAGAAACAGACCGGTTCCGTTACAGGCTCTGAAAAATCGATCTATTGCAGGGTGGGGTGGGGGTGGGGTGGGGGGGAAGCAGGACCTATCGCATGATCGTACAACATAGTTGGCCACAATGGAGAACGTTTTACGATTACAACTCTAAGCAATGCGGTTAATTCTAATAGGTTGAGAGGAATATTGCTCACCCAGCAGACCAAGGTGAGGAGTCTGAAGCCTGGTTCTGGGATACAAAGTGTGTGTTAGGGGTGTGTGGACTTCCTACCAGGATAGTATTTGGCGCTGCAGGTCTCTGAGGTGTACCAATTACCTACAGTTAAAAAAGACAATTCAGAATACAATCAGAAATCTCCCATATTATGATGCTGCCATTAAAAAAAAAATCACTTGCTTATTATTATCTACAGCCACTTCTGCGTTTTATTAATCACAAAGAATTAGAAAGAACCATGATAATATGCATCCCCAAGAGCGAGCACCCTCTGAAACACGGACAGGTATCCTCTCGTCTGTTTAGAAGTTCCCCCTTCGCCAGCCTCAGGCAGCTTCTCAAACTGAACACATGTGACAAGAAACCTTAAACAGCCCAAACAAGCCGGAACAGAAGGCACACCTGCAGTGCAAAGGAGACGCTGATGATTTGGGTGGGTGGGTAGGTTGAGTGGGAAATAGACCGTCGAAGGGGTAGCGGGTGGGAGTGGGGCATCCCAAGTCAGAATTCTGTATAAGGAACTTCACCAACACTTCTGTTTTTTGTCTCACCCTTGCCTTTCAATACCATGGAGCATGATACAATGGCAGATCCCAGTGGCACGAAAAACTGGCTGACTACGAAAGCAAGCACAACATAGCTCTTGAAAGGAAAGCGCACACAGAACTCGAGATGGGGCTGATCAGCTCTAAGCTCAGGCGGCAGAACCGCCAGCCTGCTGTTAAACCAAACATCTGGGCTGAAAGCTAATGACAAACACAGGGGCTCCTCATCCCAAAAGCACCTTCTTAGCTCTACGAAGGGGGCAGGGCCAATATACATCTGACAGCAACGGGGACCAGCAGGGGCCAAACAAATCCTCTGCAAGCTGCAGCGACGCCAGTCATCATCAGCCTCATGTGCCCGCAAAGTCCTAACGGGACCCCCGTGCTGGTGGTGTCTGCGGTGGTCGACCATTACGTATTTCTTCACTGAAGGCAGTGAAGATGTGGTGGGCCTTTTGACAACAAGGCCTTTTGTTTCATTCCCCTGCTGTTTAAATACTAATATCTGGGGGCAGATCGGCATCGCCTTGGATGGCCGGTTAAAATTTCACCTCCTCCACGGACTGGTTGCATGATCCCGTGTCTGAATCCATGTGCCCGAGGCGACGAGCCAGTGGCAGTGCTCAGAAGCACAATTTTCTCAGTACACGTTAAGAGAGTCCATTTACCATGGAACAAAACGCCTCCCTGTCACAAGTGCTTGGGCAGAGAGTAAGAACTTTCCGTTGAATGTATTAAGACACCTGAATGCCGTGGGGAGAGCAGAGTCTGCCCGGGGAGATTCACTGTGGCAGACGTCCCTGAGCTGCTTAAGCCGGCTGCTCCCCTCTCGGTCCCATCCAGAGGGATCACCGCATTACCTGCTGCGGTGGCCCCGAGAACAGCTGACTGGGGGCTTTTGGAAATGACCCGGCTCTAAGCACAGATCACCTGGCTCAATGTTAACGGGCATCCACCCAAGCATGTAGCCCATGAAGAGAAAGCGCCTCTGCCTGTAAATGTCCTATTTGCATTTCCATCAGTTTCTCCAACTGCAGCGGTAGGCCCTGAAACCCCACCGGGGAAGTTTGGTGGAAATGAGACCACGAAGAGAGCACGCACACACATGCAGGCACATAAGGAAGCATGTGACTGGGTGGATCCTCCCGCTCTTTTAGGTCCATGTCCTCACATTCATGCAAAGTGGGGTTCTGGGTGACAAAGTGAGATGTGGCCCCAACGGTTTAAAACACACTGAAGACCCATCTCCTTCAAGCAGTTACATCAGCCTGTTTGCTACTTCAAGTTGACCTTCTCAAGCAAGTTCATGGGAGACTTCCACAGGGTGACTTCTCTCAAGGTCGGGGTTCTAGCCTGAACACTGAAGCAGAGCCAACATAATCAGGTAGAGCCAACTCAGGCAACCAAACCAAATCTAAACCCACTGACGTGAGGTCAATCTGGACTCGTGGGGACCCTACAGAGTGCTTCCAAGTGTGTACATTTTTACAGGAGCACATAAGCCTCATCGGTCTCCCACGAAGCAGCTGGTGGGTTTGAACTGCTGACTTGAGGTGAGAAGCCTAGAGCACCACTTGGGGCTTCTTTCAACTCAGTGAAGACCTTTTAGATATAATTTTGAAAGGACCTTAACATGTGTACTCTTCTCCCAGACAAAAGGGCTTACTCAATAAACTCAATCTCGTGACTCCATGAGATGCCAGGCTAGGTTGACCACCAAGACAAAATGACCCTCCTGTCAGAAACATCTTAAATTGTTCTGCGGCAAGAACAGAGGACCAGAGGGCCAGGTACTCAGTATACAGCAGATGCGAAGTGCTTATTTAAATGGACTTGCTTGCAGGTAAAGAATGGGGCATTTGAAATGTTTGTTTTTTTATTCATCTTATTTGGGGTTCTTACAGCTCTTATCACAATCCACGCATCCCATCCATTGTGTCAAGCACATTTGTACATATGTTGCCATTATCATTTTCAAAACATTTTCTTTCTACTTGAGCCCTTGGTATCAGCTCATTTCCCCCCTTCCCCACCTTCCCTTCCTCATGAACTCTCGATAATTTATATATATATTTTTTTCATGCCTCACACCTACTACTGTCTCCCTTCACCCACTTTTCAGTTGTCCGTCCCCCTGGGAGGGGATTATATGTCAATCATTATGATCGGTTCTCCCTTTCTCCCCCAATCTTCCCCTTCTCCTCCTGGTATTGCTACTCTCATTAATGGTCTGAGGGGTTTATCTGTTCTGGATTCCCTGTGTTTCTTTCAGCTCTTATCTGTACCAGTGTATATGTTCTGGTCTAGCTGGATTTGTAGGGTAGAATTGGGAACAAGATAGTGGGGGGGCGGGGGGGGGAGCATTAAAGAACTAGAGGAAAGTTGTATGTTTCATCAGTGCTATACTGCACCAACTGACTCATCTCTTCCTTGTGACCCCTCTGTGAGGGGATGTCCAATTGTCCACAGATGGGCTTTGGGTCTCCATTCCGCCCTCCCTGTCATTCACATCAATATGATTTTTTTTGGTTGTTCTGGGTCTTTGATGCCTGGTACCTGATCCCATCTACACCTTGTGACCACACAGGCTGGTGTGCTTCTTCCATGTGGACTTTGTTGCTTCTCAGCTAGACAGCCGCTTGTTTATCTTCAAGCCTTTAAGATTGGGCTCTGTTTTTTTAATGGTAGATATAAGACATGGATTTTCAAAAATCCAAAGAATTGTAGGACATGAAAAATAAACCCCGATATAAGTACATGGGGGACTTTAGTTCAATGACAACCGGTCAGTACCGCCTCATCAATTTTAACAATGCGAGACATTAATGGGGGGGGGAATGAGAGGCGTGGTTAAGAATCGGTGTACTATCTGCTCACATTTTCTGTAAATTTCAAGCTGCTCTGCCAAAGTGTCTACTTGAGAGTGAATGGTCAAATCAACATGTCCAGGATAGCAGGCATCCATCCACTCATCCAGCCTTTGGAAAACCCTGCTGACGTGCGGATAAGCCTGTACTGCTCCTCGCTCCCTCGGCTTCAACCACAGCTTGTCGGTGTGTTTTTGCTTTGGGTCTGCTTGTTTACGGTCTTTGCCAGCGTTTACTGTAGCTGTAGTACACTCGGCCATGGGAAAAACTAGAGAAAAGACACGCAGGCACGGAGACTCACAACCATCCCTGGGTGTTGGTTCAGAGCACAGGACACATACCAGGCTGTGTCCACAAGGCTGCCGTCGGGGAAGCCAGGCTGGATGTAAGACTGAGTGCGCGCTGTGCTTTCACGTTAGCGGTTTTATGTGGAAGGAGCCATTGAAAGCTTTGTTGACTCTGGGGCGTGCTTCCTCCTGCATGCCTCACCTCCCTGGAAATCCCAGGGAAGGAAGTTCACCATCGGGATGCTGAGCAGTGCTGGGGTGTGGCGCGTGCT